GCAGCAAACTACCCAGCATTCAGGACAACATCGACCACAATACTATACAACCCTGCCACAGCAACCACTGCAAGACATGTCAGATAATCAACATAGAGACTACCACCACACATGGAAACACCACCCACCCGGTACACAGCAGATACTCACGTGACTCGGCCAATGTTGTCGATCTCATATGCAGCAGGCAAGGATGCCGCAAGGCATGGTATATTGGCAAGACCATGCAGACGCTACGACAATGGATGAATGAGGACACTACGCAACCATTGCCTGACAGGAATGTTCCCTCCCACTCAGGGAACACTTCAGCGGTCAAGGACATTCAGTTTCTGATCTTCGGGTAAGCGTCCTCCGAGGCAGCCTTCGAGATACACAATAACGCAGAATCACTGAGCAGAAACTGATAGCCAAGTTCTGGCCTCGACCGTGATCTTGCATTCATGTCTCGCTACAGGTGACCCCATCATACTGTTCTGTATCTGTAAAATCTTCCTTACTGTCCTGCTTTGATACCATCACCTTGATAAATTGTTATGATCTCTACCTTAATTAATTTGTACAGTTTTGGATTACTTATTACTTTGGTTGGACCCTCAGCATGCAACTCTTATACCTATTATGTTATTCCAGTCAGTTGGTCTGTCTCCAGCACCACTTTATTTTTAATTTTTTGTAATTATCTCTCTGCCTCATTTAATTGGATTATCAGTCATCCCATCGATTATTATTCAGCTGTTGGCACTTTACTCACACTGTCTGACACTCTTGATTACCTGCAGAGACCTATCATTCAGCCTGTTGACACTCCACTCTCACCATTTGTATGATCTGTTGATCTCTCTGCCCAGTGATCTCCCTGTCTATAAATTCTGTGCCTGTGTGCTTCTCTCTCATTTCACCTGACGAAGGGACAATGCTACGAATGCTTGTGATTTCAAATAAATCTGTTGGACTATAACTTGGTGTCATCTGATTTCTGACCTTGTCCACTCCAGTCCAACACCTGCACCTCCACATCATATCTTACCAATATAACTTGTACTTGATTGCTATGGAATAAACAGCATCTTGTTTAAGACAAGAGCCTCTTCTTGTTAAACCACCTAATGGATTTCCTCTGTCACACTGGACAAAGCAGGTCTTGTAGATCGCAGCCTAAAAGATGTTGGCACAAATTTACCTTACGATGACCAGAAGTCCAGTGCATTCATACAACATGATATCACAGGTAGGCATCCGAAGATTTAGTTTAGACAGACCATTACAGCATACTCTATAAATCTAACTGCTCATGGCACTGCCCACATTCAGATCAACAAGTGGCACCTGATTTGGGAACATAAGATGATAAGAAACAGGAGCAGGAGTAGGCCATCCACCTGTTCAAGCCTACTATACCAATCAATGAGATCATGATTGATTTTCTACTTCAGCAGCATTTTCCTACACTCTCCCTGTATCCCATGATGTTTTTACTAAGTAGAAATCTATCAATTTCAGTCTCAGTCTCGAACGGACTCAATGACTGCCCCTCCATAACCCTCTGGTGTACAGGATTCCAAAGATTCACCACCCTCAGTGAAGAAATTCCTCCTCATCTCGGTATTTCAGTCTGAAATGGCTTACTCCTTATTCTGAGATTGTGTCTCCTGTTTTATGCACTCCCTGCTGTGCCCTGCCTGTCCCTATAGTTTGATGGGCATAAAAATGAGCTTGGGGGAAGAGAACAGTCAGGAAGCACCGTCCTGTGGGTGAGGAGCAGGTGATGAGGCACTGCTACAGACTGCAGTTGTTCGCAAAAATCCACTGTTGGCACAGACTTTCAAACAGACATCACATCGACAAAATGCAAGCTGCTCTGCCTTGCAGCCAGCCTGGGAAGTAGACTTCAACCTTCCAACTAGAATTGGGGCCTTTGCCACTCCACTGTCCTCACTAACTCGCCCCAGAAATTGGAGTCAATTACTGCACAATTCCCTGTGTAATGTGCTCCCAGTTCCACAGCAATGCTGCAGGATGATTTGGACAAGTTGAGTAAGTGGGCTGATGAAGTATAATGTGGATATATGTGTGGTTATCCACTATGGGGGCAAAAAGAGGAAGGCATATTATTATCTGATTGGGAAAGGGAGAGGTGCAATGAGACCTGGGTGACCTTGTACCCAGTCGCTGAAAGTAAACATTACAGGTGCAGCAGGTAAATGGTCTGTTGGCCTTCATAGCAAGAAGATTTGAGTCCAGGAGCAGGGATGTCTTGCTGCAATTGTATAGGGCCTTGGTGAGAGGAAGGATTGCAACAAAGACTGATTCCTGGGATGGCAGGACTGACAGATGAAGAGAGACTGGGTCAGTTAGCACTATATTCACTGGAGTTTAGAAGAATGAGGGGGGATCTCACACAAACCTATCAAATTCTAATAGGACTAGACAGGGTAAATGGAAGAAAGATGCTCCCAATGACCGGGGAGTCCAGAACCTGGGGTCACAGTCCAAGGATACAGGATAGGCCATTTAGGACCGAGATGAGGAGAAATGTCTTCACCCAAAGAGTCGTGAGCCTGTGGAATTCTCTACTACAGAAAGTGGTTGAGGCCAAAACACTGAATGTTTTCAAGAAGGAGCTGGATACAATTCTTAGGGTGAAAGAGATCAAAGGGTATGGGGAGAAAGCGGAAACACAGAACAAAACACAGTACAAAACTCTGGTGCGGCCGCACTTGAAGTATTGCGTACAGTTCTGGTCACCGCATTATAGGAAGGATGTGGAAACATTGGAAAGGGTGCAGAGGAGATTTACCAGGATGTTGCCTGGTATGGAGGGAAGGTCTTATGAGGAAAGGCTGAGGGTCTTGAGGCTGTTTTCGTTAGAGAGAAGAAGGTTAAGAGGTGACTTGATAGAGACATACAAGATGATCAGAGGATTAGATAGGGTGGACAGTGGGAGCCTTTTTCCTCGGATGGTGATGGCTAGCACGAGGGGACATAGCTTTAAATTGAGGGGTGATAGATATAGGACAGATGTCAGAGGTAGGTTCTTTACTCAGAGAGTAGTAACGGCATGGAATGCCCTGCCTGCAAAAATAGTAGACTCGCCCACTTTAAGGGCATTTAAATGGTCGTTGGATAAATATATGGATGATAATGGAATAGTTTAGTTTAGATGGGCTTCAGATTGGTTTCACAGGTCGGCACAACATCGAGGGCCGAAGGGCCTGTACTGCACTGTAATGTTCTATGTTCTATGTTCTATGATCAGCCATGATCATATTGAATGGCAGAGGAGGCTCAAAGGGCCGAATGGCCTATTCCTGCTCCTGGTTTCTACGTTTCCACTCCTGAAGCTTTCCTTCCAAAATGGAGACCGTATTTTCAACAGCCTTTTTTTTAAAAAAGACCTTTGTGTGTCGTCTCACCTCAGGAGTATTAAAAGTGCCATTGAACAATTGCATGCAGTTTTCATGGCATTGAGTCCACACACACTTAACCCCAATTGCTTCATTTAGTCATAATTTGCAGGTTAAAAAAATAATCAAGGGTCACTCCCAACCAAATCTGTCTTTTTGTTTGGGGTGGTGGAAGGACCTAGTAGGACTTTCCCTCATCTCCACTGGTGATTTTGCCCTGCCCTGCAGAGTCCTGGAGGTGAATCCTGAACTTCTGAAAATTCTCAGTCCATCCTGGAAGGTTGGTAACCTCCCCCGACGTGACTTTCACAAAGCTCTTCAGGTTGAGAGGCCAACCAACCCACAAAGCATTTTGAGAAGAATTTGCACTCAGAACGCTTTACGTTTTCATTTCAAGTTTTAGTCCAAGATCAGGCTGGATTGCCTTGCTCATACCAGGCATACCACTCAGTGGGTATGTGCCTGCAAGACTCTTCAGTTGGCACAGCAGCAAAGAGAGAGAGAAAAATAGAGTGCCCTCAGAAACAGTCTAGGCTTTACCAGACTGGAAGTGATTGCTGTCACCGGAGGGGTGTCTGAAAGGCAGTGACGGTGCCATGGGGTGCTATTTCCCATCACTGGCAATGCTCACTTTAATGAACACAAAAGATGCCCCATGCAAAAATGCTGATGATAAACTGGAGAAGGAGATAGAAATAATTATATTAATCCCAAGATCATTCTATTTGACTGAGGAGAAACAGGCCATTTGGCTCTTCCAGAAATCTCTGCCATTCAATGTGCTTATGGCCACTCTTCAACCTCAGCCAGATATTCATGAAAGGTTTTTCGATTTGCTTCATGCCCAGAATATGGACAGTTGCAACTTTTGACTTTCAAGGTTACCTCTCATCAACTCCAAGGAACATAGGCCCTTTCTACTGCATTGGGTTAGACAGTGAGAAATACTAACATCACTATCAGCCTTGTTGGATTTAAGGGAGCCAGGTCAATCCTCAGATCCTCCAGCATGAACCTCAAAGGACACAGTCAGTTGGTTTCTCTGTGATAATGGCAGAGGCAGCAACGTTAGCACATGTACAGGCCCCATCATTGGTCCTTTATTTGATTGCGAGTTGCTTTGGTGCATCATGCCATGCTAACACTACGATCAAAGCACACAATGTCACATTTCTGTATTGCTGCACAGACAGACACAGGGCTAAACAAAGACAAAAGGCATAGGCTGCAGTTCTCAACACGTGCCATTCTGAGGCCACGTTACCAGGGTGCCCATCACTTTGAAAGCCCCCCTCCCAAATCACATATCCCCTTTCACAGCCTCAACATCATACCCACACCTCATATTCTGAGCTCTAATTGACACCCAGTTGTGTGACAGAGGCAAGTAGTTAATCAGATGAAGACTGGAACTTTAAGCATGGTCAGGGATTTGAAAGTTGCAACATTTTGAGAGATTTATTCAATTCATGATCATTGCTGTCAGCAAACAGCACACCCAAGCAGTGCCCAGCCATCACAAGAATGTCTCAAAGATGTTGTTCACCTCTCCTCCAGTCCCATAGGATCATTTAAAGTGCACAAAGTACTTACGGTTGGCAGAGCATGACAAGGTCCTGGTCAGTCGTACCAGGGTGAAGCCCACGGATGTAGAGGTTGGTTTTACTCAGTTGCTCCCCTCCAACGCTACTGCTGTTACTGCTGCTGTTGGTGCTGGGACTGGGCGGTGCCATCTGCTGGGCAGGTGGGGCATAGGGCTGCTGAAAATACAAAATCCGATTCCATTACCTGCTGGGAAGTCAAAACGAGAGAAAGTCCTGCCTACTTTCGAGTTGAGGTGGCAAGTTCCCTGCCAGGAATGGGGACAAACAACACAGGTAGAGGTGGCAATCTTGGTGAGCGAACTCTGTTCAAGGTGCCTGTCAGATGTCGGAGATAAAGTGGGACACCAAGATTGGGGATGCCAGCTAACATTACACCTCAGGATTTGGGACCAAGTGTGATTCACAATCATTAATAGTATGCCAATTATATTGTTAAGGGCATTGTTAATTAAGCACCCTGAGCACTGATAAAGAGAGACTGGGGTGCAACGGTAGTGTCAGGGCATTAAAAAAAGACACTGGGGGCCCTCTTATGACACGGTGGTAGCGTCCCTACCCCTGGGCTGGCAGACCTGGATTCGAGTCCTACCTGCTGTAGAAGTGTATAATTATATCTCTGAACAGATTGTTTAGAAAAATAGGTTAAATAAATTTAAAAACAATAAAGAGAGACTTCTGAGACACTGAAGTAGCAGGTTAGAGGCAGACATAGGTAACACTAAATTCTATGAATAGGTCAACTGTCAAGAAAAGGATGTGTGTCTAGTTTCGCCCTTTCTACATTCAGCTTGGGATGCATTTATCATTGATGACATATTTCACAGGCTTGTATCAAACATACAGCACAGATACAGATCATTCAGCCCATCTGCTCCATACTAGTGCTTATGCTTCACTCAAGCCTCCCCCGTCGCTCCCACAAGCCCCCACTCACAATATCCCTCCATTCCCATCTATTTATCCAACTTCCCCTGAAATAGATCTCTGTTTGCCTCCCACATTCTCACCACTCTCAGCTGAGTGAAGCCATATCTGCGGAATGCCTAATTGAATTTAGGAGTGATCATGTTACATTTCTAGCCTCAAAGTTTTGGGCTCCACGTAAGTGGAAACATCTTCTCCACACCCAAATGACTGAACTTCATAATCGTGAAGGCCTCCATCAGTCCCATTAAACCTTTGTTAATGAAACTCAATTACGAGGTTACCTCTCTACTAATTGTCTCAACTGATCAGATTTATAGTACAGAAATTGATGTGCATCATACGGTTATGATAACAGGTCCGAGGTTCAGTGATGGCGCATCCCTGAGGAAGAGTTATTTTACAATAAATCTGCCTGCTGACATCTCCCAAGTGCTGATTAACAACTGCAAATGGTGATATCTTCAAACCAAATTATTAGAATTATAGAATTGTTACAATGCAGGAGGCCATTCAGCCTGTCATGTCAGCACTGGTTCTATCCCCTAATCCCAATTTCCTGCTTTTATCCTGCACACCATTTCTATCCAAATAACCATCCAATCCCCTCTGGAATGCCTCAATTGAACCTGCCTCCACAACATTTCCAGTCAGTGCATTCTCGACCCTAGCTACGCGCTGGGTGAAAATGTTTTTCCTCACATCACCCTTCCTTCATTTGCACATCACTTTATATCTATGCCTCTCTCATTCTTGTTCCTTTTACACGTGAGAACAGCTTCTCCCGATCTGCTCTGTCCTGCTGCAGCTCATGATTTTGAAAATCTCAATCAGATCTCCTATCATCTTTCTTCTCTCCAAGGAGAACAGTCCCAATTTCTTCAATCAATCCTCCTTACTGAAGTTTCTCATTCCTGGAATCATTCTTGTAAATCACTTCTGCACTCTCTCCAAGGTGCTTTCCTATCTTTCCTATAATGTGGCACCACAACTGTATACAATCCTCCAGCTGAGGTCTACAAGTCTCTTATACAAGTTCAACATTACTTCCCTGCTCAGATATGATCCTAGGATGGAGTTGACATTACTGTTCCCATCGCTATTCAAATCACTCTTTCCTCTACTCCCATTGTGTCAGCTGTGGCTCAGTGAGTAAGTAGGCTCATCTTGGAAATAAAAAGACTGTGGGATCAAGCCTCGCTTGAGGATAAAAATTGAGGCTCACACTCCCAGTGCAATCCTGACGGAGTGCTGCACTTCCAGAGATGCTGTTCTTTTTCCCTGATTTGAAACATGAAACCCAAGGTTCTGTCTACTTGTCAGGAAATAGGAGCAGACCCCTTGAACCTGCTCCACTTTTCGATAAAATCATGGCTAATCAGATTGGGGCCTCAACTGCATATTTCTCTCTGCCCTGTAACCCTCGTCACTTCCATTAATCAAAAATCTAACTCAGCCTCCACTGGTCTCTGGGGAAGAGAATTCCACAGACCAATGATCATTTGAGAAAAAAAACAAAAGCCATTCATCTCCTTTTTAAATGGATGGCCCCTTATTTTTAAACTGTGTCACTTCACTCCAGTCTCTCCCACAAGGGGAAACATCCTCTCAGCATCCACCCTGTCAAGTCCTCTCAGGATCTCACAGTTTCAAGAATATGACACGATTCAGAGTCAAGGAGTTCTCCTTATCAAAGCTGATCCCTCAATGAACACCAGCTGCAAAGGCAAAAATCTACGAATGCAGGAAACTTGAAATAAAAATGAGCAATACGCAACCAAGTCAGACAGAATCTCAGAGAGAAACAGCCTTAAATTATCAGCTGAATGGTCTTTTGCCAAGGTATTGACCTGAGAGGTTCATTTCAGCTTTCTCCCCACCAATGCTGTTAGACCTGCTTAATATTTCCAGTATTGTCTATTTCCATTTCACCAAAACATCATGATAACTTTATTGTTTGTGGGAGCTTGCTGTGTGTCAATCAGCAACTGCTTCTCAAACATTACAATTGTGGCTACATTTCAAGAAAGAAACTTCATTTGTAATCTGTGATGTGGTTACGAAAGGCACAACATAACTTATGTTTTTAAAGTAATGACTAATGCCGAAGAATGTTGGCACAACAACGAATCAAAATACAGAAGGGATATAGAAGACTTGGTGACGTGGTGCAATAAGAACAACCTCTCTCTCAACGTCAGCAAAACTAAAGAACTAATCATTGACTTCAGAAAGAAAGGAGGAAAACACGCCCCCATCTACATCAATGGAACTAAGGTTGAAAGGGTGGAGAGAATTAAGTTCCTTGGAATGACGATAACCTTCAACCTGTCTTGGACTTCCCACGTAGATGCAACGGTCAAGAAGGCACAACAATGCCTCTTCTTCCTCAGGCAGCTCAGGAAATTTGGCATGTCCATAGGGACTCTCACAAACTTCTACAGATGCACCATTGAAAGCATACTGTCTGTGTGCATAACTGCCTGGTATGGCAACTGCTCTGACCAGGACCGTAAGAAACTACAGAAGGGAGTATGCACAGCCCAGACCATCATGGAAGCCAACCTTCCATCCATGGACTCCATTTACACAGCTCGTTGCCGCGGAAAGGCTGCCAACATCATCAACCAATCGCACCCCCGTAATCTCCTACAATCTCTTCCATCAAGCAAATGATACAGAAGCTTGAAACACACACCAGCAGCTTCAGGAACAGCTTCTTCCCAGCCGTTATTAGACTAACGAATGGACTCTCCAGCCTCAAATAATGCTGATCTTGCTAACGTGGATCTTGCCTAGCGCACGCCCTGTGCAATTGTAACCTGTATGCCTCTGTCTAAGTTTTTTTTACAACCTTTGATCTGTACATCCGTGCTTACTGGGATCTGCCTATATTGCTCATAAACAAAGCTTTTCACTGTACTTCAATACAGGTGACAAGAAATTAAATCAATCAATCAATTAAACCTCAAGTGGCTCACTCTATTGGCACAAGCTCGATAATTAGTGCCATGGGTCTTGACATGGCTGCCTGTCAAATTTCAGGCAGGTTGTTGGGTTAGGAAGCATATGTCTGTAATGTGCATCTCTGCAAATAAATGCTAATGAAAGTGTGTAGGGATTGGTCCAGTTCTATGCTTCACCACCTAGCTTTCTGGGTTATAACACCATGCACTGGAACAAGAACAGGATTTCAAGACTTTTATAATCCTCTCAATGCTAGTTCCTTATGTCATCCTTCTTTTATCTTCCTCTTCATGGCTGGAAGTAAAGATCACACTAAGCTACTAGTTACTAAGTATCCTTAACCTTTCAAGCTGTACCTTTGCTTGGCATTTTCCGCAGGGTCACCAACTCTGATTGGACATATTCCTGCAAGTCTCAATACATGCCCTCCCACCTCCCAACTACCCCATCCACTCAAAAAGCCTTTCTTTTCATACCCCTGCCCCCAGCGTCAGAGAGACCAAAGTGTTCTGTCTTTCCATCCTAGAATTTGCTCACAGCACATTCCAGGATGATAATGTTCAATTCCAGGAAACTCCAGGGCGATCCTGGAGAATTGATGACAAGAGGTTGTCCCAAATAATACAGCCAGGAGTTGCTGCATGTGAAGGAGCACATGCATGGAATCACAGAATAGCTTACAACACAGGCATTTGACTCATTGTGTCCATGTCAGCTCATTGCAAAAGCAACTCAGTCCTACTCCCCTGCCTTTCCCCACAGCCCTGCAAAATGTATTGTTTTCAGTTTCCTGATTCCCTTTTGAAAGCCTCAATTGAATCTTGCTCCCCCATACTCTCAGATAGTGCATTCCAGATTCTGAACACTCACTGTGTAAACAAGTTGGTCCTCATATCATCATTTCTGCTTCTTTTGCCCGTCACCTTAAATCTGTGTGCCCTCATTCTCAGTCCTTCCACCAATGAGGACAGTTTCTCCCTATTCATTTTGTGTGATCCCTCATGATACTGATCAAATCTCCCTCTCAAGCCATCCCTTTTCTACAATCAGTCTCAATTCTGTCAATCTTTCCTTGTAACTGGTCTCTCATTCCTTGAAACATTCCTGAGTTTTGTTCTTGTTTGCAAACCAGTGTTTTACATCTGCCATGAGCTCCAATGGTGGCTCAATGGGTAAAAGGCCACCCAATGTAAAATTAAGCCATGCAGTTCAAGAAGCTCTCTATTCAATCAGCGACGATGACAGGATAAGATGTTTAAGAAAATCAGCTAGTTTTGAGTTTTGATCACACGTACATAATGCTGGTGTTTGCATCTTCTGCCATGGTCAAATGGTCTGATTGCAACTGTGACCAATGAGACTGCCTTGCTGAGATGGAAGTAAGAGAAACCGCTTGCATTTAAATAGCGCCCTTAGCTTCACCAAAGATCCCAGGAACATTATCAGTCAAAGTTTGATGCCATGTCTCATCAAGAGATAGGGCTAAAATCAGAGGGTTTTCCCTGTGCCTATTAAACTATAGCCCAAAATTAGCATGACAAAAATGCCATAACCAATTTGGTCTGGATAGGCCGAACAACAGAGTGGTGAGCATGACGCTTCTAGGATCCGGGAATATCAGCTCCAGAAACTGGACTTTGTGGTTGTCAGTACAAGGATAGAAGCCCACCAGGAACATCAGAAAAACTGTGTGTACAACTCATTGGTTCCCCTACAACGGAGAATTGGTGGCAATTGCCCAATTGTTCCCTGATTTGGGCCTAGTCAGGCCCTCGGGTTTTATGTAAACAACGGGGGATGTAAACTTCCAGAATGAGGCGACAATTCAATATCAATTGCCAAATTGTGACAACCAAATTTCTAGTAGTGCCAGTGATAATACATGTCAAAGTGGCTCAAGACGTGTTAAACCATGACTTCCATTTGGGTAAAGTGACTGTTGTTGTGTGGGCAAACATTTATGTCAACTCAAAATCTACCCCCCCTCCCCAAACAGCACTGAAGATGTGGAAAGACTGCCTTTCCGGCAGCTGTAGGATTCAGGGAGACATGTTGACCAGAAGGCTATGGGATCTTGCTCCACACAAAACAGCTGCTTGCTCTTCTTTCAATACTGCCAATGGGCCTTTCCCAACATCCTCCCGGATCACAGGAGTAGAAGCTAGGGCCTCAGTCTGCAAAACGAAGCCATTCTCAGCAGGAACTTGGTTGAGACAGTCAAATCCCTTTTAAAAATAGACCCACTCAGATAGGAAGCGATCTCACAATGGACAATGGATTAAACCTCACAGAGGTACAAAGGCAAGAGTGTTAAACCCGGTGCAATATCCAGTGATCCCCTTCTCCTCATCAGTGCTTTCCTGGAAACCTTGAGGTCTGTTTGTAATATTGGCAAACAACAAGGTGCAGTTACAAAGCGCCTTTAGCATTTCTCAGGGACTGCTGCTGGGCAATATTAGAGTCATATAAGGAGATGATGTGGAGGTGCCGGTGTTGGACTGGGTGAACAAGGTCAGAAATCACAT